GTGTGTGTGTGTGTGTGTGTGTGTGTGTGTGTGTGTGTGTGTGTGTGTGTGTGCGTGCGTGCGTGCGTGCGTGTGTTTATGTATGTAATGCTTATAAATGCAATTTATAAGCAAAGTTTATTGTATTAATTTATGTTTAATAAATAAAACAATTGCTATTAAACTGAAGATTGAATTAAAATAATTAATGTATCGTAATCCAAGTAGTTAAACAACTAGTATATAAATAAATATATATATATATATATATATATATATATATTATTACAATGTGAATTAATCTTCAATATATGAGATATAAAATATACATTTAAACACGTGTTATGTATAAAATTACATTATTCCAATTAAAAAAAAAATAACGAAAATTTAAATTCCATCGTTATAATGAAGTTTTATGATCGAAGGATATGTGAAGGTATATAGATATGTATACATTTTCTTATAATAAATATATTATTAATTTTACATCTTAAAAGTAAATTCGATTAACAATGCCCGATAGAGATTAACCATTTTGAAAAACTATAATTACCCCTATTAATCAAATTATTAGCTTTCTAGGCTAAGTCAAATTTCTCTTTGAGAAACCGTCATTCTTTTTGCTACTTACGAAAATATAACAAGAATATTCGTTTGTACTCCCTTGACCGAGCATTATTCAAATAAAAATAATGATGGTAGATTAATGAACTTTTCGTAATTGGTTAATATTAAAGTTACAATTTTATTCAAATATTTAGATTAGTCTGCAAGTAAAATAATAATTCATGACCATAAAAGTTTATTTGTGTAAACTACGAATCATAAAATTATATAGGAAAATTATTTATATGCCCATAAATTTTCAAATTTTTGTTAAGGTGTTTGCCACGTGGTGAAAAACTAACTTCCTTCGATTATTCATTATACAAAATATTATTCAACTATTTATTCAATTATTTAACTAGAGTATTTCAATTTTATATATCAAATTTTGTATTTACTTTCTTATCACTTATTATTATATACAATGCATGACAAAGATACATTATTAATAATTAAATGTAATTTAATTTGTTCTATTATGCTGCGGTTTATATACGGGTAAATAAAATGATATTACTAAAATGTAGTCATTAAATATTTTTTAAAGCTAATTTTAATTTTGTCAACGTTATAACTTCATGTTGAATTAGTATCAATTGCATAATTTTAATATAAAAGGTTAAAATTAATTTAAAAAAACATAAGAAATAATGCATACGTTTGTTGTCTTAAGGAAATATTTTTAAACTTTTCAATTAAGACAATGTGCCAAGAACTGGCATTTAATTTTTGCAAATATTAATTTTTCTAAATTATTAACGTATTTTTCCTTTTCTTATCTTTTACCCATTCGTATAATTATGTTTTTAATTCCATTCTATTTGTATATTTATGAGAAAAGTTAGTCCTTCGGTATGGTTTCGGTAAGCTGTCAATAAACAAGTCGTTCAACATTATCTAAACATAATATTTAATCTTAATATTTTTTACTTACATAAAATATAGCACTAAACTATAACAGCACACAACTTCAACTGCATTAAAAATGCTTAAGCAGTAAAATACATTGTTTGCTCAATGATTTCTTTATGTCGGGATAATCATTTATGTGACTTGATTTTTTGCATACGTATATCTGATAAACTCAAGGTTATTTAATGTGTGAGTGTAATAACCCTAAAGCGGAACGTATACCTTGTGCACAACAACACTTCGCTCTTGTTTACTTTTTCTCTACCATACAAAGTTACTTCTCGATCTAATCGCTTTAGAGGCATTAAAACGTCGCATAAAAGTTGGTTCTTAAATGTTTCACTTTTTGTGGCGATTATTGTGCATAACCAGTGCATAATTCACATTGATTTAAATCATTTAGAAAAATCAACTCATTTCGAAAAAAAGGTAAAAAAAGAAAATTTTTCATCATATTGGGAGTTATGGTCACGTTAAAGACTAACGCCATTCATTCATTACTTTTCGAAAGTAAAAGTAATCATTAATATGAAAATGAATTGAATAAACATCATGAATACTGTACTTAAACCAAGTTTTGAAAAATCTGTAATAATGTATTGATAGAAGGATATTATAATAATTAAGGAATAAGATGTAGACTTGATAATAAAAATATATAAATGATTATTAATCTAAACGTAAGGAATACAATAAAGAGTAATGTAATAAATAAACTTTGTATCAATCGGTATGGAAATTATAAAGAGATTATTTATAATGTTTGTGCTTTCAGTTTAATATTATTTCAATGTTGATATCAGGAATAATAATATATGAATTAAAATTGATACAAATGTTTCGTTTTCAATATTTCTAAATTAATTTGAAATTTTTTTATTTAGTTTAATAATAAATCAATAAATGTATTTATACCTATAGACTTTATATCAATACCATAAAAGTTATAATTTAATTTAATTAATAATTTCGAGATATATAAAGGTATCTATAAATATAAATAATAGTCTAAATAATAGTATAAGTAACGAAGAAAAAAAAATACAGCCGATCTACAGAATTTATAAATATTTACAATTATAATGTTTTCATAAGCTTTTTTCATTAAAAAATTAAATAAAAACTTTACAATAATTTAAAACTTTTTGAGATACGTTAAACAATTGTCGAAAGTGACAATGGCAATGCCTTCTATAATAGTAAAAATTACGAATACGCGTGAATGCACTGTGTAAGGAAAAATGGGCTTTTATGGAGAAGTCAATCAAGCTCGATTAAAGTTGCGAATGCGTACATAGACGAGAAGAAATTACGAGCGATTAGAATTAGAGGCAACTGCGCGGGATTGAGGGTGACGACCGGTATAATTTTTCATAAAGTACTCTTTCGCTAGAATAAAACTTGTGAAGTGATTTAACGCTCGTCCGTAAAATTGTTTTACAAGCAATATAATTGCATATACATTGAAAATTTTGTTAATTTAAAGTTAGTAACAAAAAAAAAAAAAAAGAAAAAAATGTCTTTACGTCTTATCTTGATTTTGTTAAATTGTAATTATCTTGAAATTGTTATGTACGAATTTGAAATGATTAATAATATTTATTAATTTTCGATATTTTATATTGAAAATAAATTATAACATCTATTTTAATTTTCCCATTATATTCTTTCTTTTCTTTATTATAATAAAACATAACAAGTAATTATGAAGCATAATTTAGATATTTTTAAACATTTAAACTGTACTTTATGAATATAATGACATTTTTATTGTGAGTAACAATAATAATGCATACTTAAATATTTTAAAAGGCTTATTCGACATGAAGTTTGAATATTTCTTTTTTATAAAATTTATTTACAATATTCTGTTAAAAATACCGTTCAAAAAACTGTTCAAAAAGAAGCTTTTAAATATTAGTTTTAATTTCGATCCATCTGTTACACTAATATAAATGATTTTCAGCTTGAACATCATAATTCTTTATATATTCCTACACCTCGAAATACGTTGTTTCTTAAAATGCAATAATATATAGACTATTTATAAAAATATAAATTTGTATAATAAAGAAGTAAAATAGAACAGTAGTATAGCACAGTACGATCTTCACCGTAATATTTAAAAATTCATACGATCCGATCTCTAAAACTCAAATTTTTAATCATCACTTCGTAATAATATATAAAGAATCATTTCAAATTACTTCAAGTAAGAATATTATGAAGCTAATTAATTTTCAAAGGAGCCGCGGATTGATTGGCATCGGCTGAGTCGGCGGTACTAAAGTACACACAAACGCAAACGTCATTTCAATTGACTATTTATCGAATGAAGATGGGCCGATCGATGAGAGTGGCATCGAAATCCCTCCCAATCTCGCTCTCTCGCAGCTTCAAGACAATCCCTTTATTTATAGTGTACCCGGCGTGCACTTTCACTGATAACCAGATCGCTGCACCCGGACGGAAAGCCGCTAAAATTGTACGCTTGACAG